ATAGTTCCATCATCAGTCAAACAATAAAGAGTCTGATTCCATTTTTGATGTTTGACATTCAAAAAGTTTCAAGCCCCACCCTTCTGCCCCAGGTTTGGGCTGGTTCATAAGAAAGCCTTGGTTCTCCCTCCTTTGGTACTGGCAGGAAGTTCAAACCATGTGAGTTCTAGCCCACAGGTAGGATTCCTAACAATAAAAGCCAAGCCAGTCTCCTTCCCTCTGAAGCCATTTGTAGATGTCCCTGAGAGCCTGCTATATGCCCCTCAGAAGCCTTCATTGTATGAGTGGTAAACTTTTTCATACCTTCTCAGGCAGGCATTGTGCGGGGTCATCAGTCTTGACATCCAAAGCAAATTTGGGGTGGGATGACCACAAAATACTTTTTCCTAAACTTCAGCAAACAGTGGGGTCATCAAAACTGGGCTTTGGAATTATTTGAGCCACCCTGATAGAATTTTGCAATTTTCACTGTCATTTGAGTCTACTGCATATTGGAAAACTTCTTAATTCTCTATTGCAAAAGACATCATCAACTGAGAATAGAAGTTCAGCTATCTTTTCCTTTTCTGTTTCTCAAATTAACTATTTGTGTATGCATTTTTCATCTGTCAATTCCAAAAGCAAATTGGGGAGAGTCCACACCCAAGTAGAGCCACAATTCCTATTTTGTTGCAACCTGTTTAGCTATGTTGCTGCTGAAACAACTAAATTACTATATTAGGCTTAAACATGAAATAAACTAACATGTTTAAAATTGGAGGTATTCTGAGCTGGGTGTCCCAAACATTCCTAAACAGTTCTGAGATTGGAATTTAAATGACTCAGATGTTCAGGACTGAACTCTCTTTTCTCTCAATCTGGCACATCACTTACTTCTTTTCAAGGATTTCATTATTCTAATGTTTGTTAAACGCATAGATTTGCCTCTCAGTGCAGAATTTTAATTTTTGGTAAAAAATCTAGATGAGAAAATATAAACTAAATAGATTCATATTTATGTACTAATTTATATATTACAATTATATACATTACATATTTGTATAATCCTATACCAAGTTGCCGGATACATTGCTAGTGCATTGGGGAAATATGTGGTTTCTTAGCATCTGATCTGATGAGCTTTCCTTTCCAGCTGTACTGGAATCTCTTGGGGGCAACTATAAAGATTTTGGAGAAAGGATATTCATTCCTTTTGAATTTGTTCAGAGGCAATAAAAATTATTTTCAAGTTTCAGCACCAAGAAGTTTTAGCCCATTTCAACATTGCAAAATGTCATGAATTATTTTTAAAATTAACAATTCAGATAAAAAATTTCCATCTGAAAATGTGACTACCAGAGAAATATTTGTATATTCTTTTAAGTGAATACTGTATTGATTGGCTGCATACTTCCTGAAAAGACATCTTATCAAAAAGCTTTCCACTAATTTGCTACTAAAAATAAGTATGTATATATATAAAAAAAAGGGATTCCAACCCATGGAGAGAGAAAGAAAAAAAAATTACAGAAAACATCTATACAAAAGGCAAAACAGTGACAGAAAAGACTATGCTAGCAGATTGTTTTCTTCTTTTGGTGGAAAAGACAATAAATCTCATTGTTTGGATGCACTTATTTTTTCACCCATGATACTTCTGTTGAGCACCATGATGTGTGGGGCACTGTGCTAAGTAGTGTAGATATGATGTGAGATATAGTCTTTACCCTTCAGTTGCTCACAATCAAGTAAGAAAGAAAAGCATATTAATTAAGACATAAGTTATAATATGAATTTATGTTAATGCCTGAGGAGCATACAGGCTACAGACTTTAATTCTGATTAGTCAGTAGGTAAGGGATCTGGGATGAGCACAAAGAAGAGAAGGTTTCAGGCTGGGTTAAAGAATACACCAGGCCACATGATCATCTCAACTAATTAAAAACAAAACAAAAAACAAATCCTCTAACAAAATCCAACACCATTTTATGATAAAAAAAGTCAATAAACTAATAATAGAAGGGAACTTACTTAACATGAAAAACACCATATATGAAAAAAATCCACAACTAAATATCATACTCAGTGGTGAAAGACTGAAAGCTCTTTCCCTAATATCAGGAATAAGATAAAGATGCCTGCTTTTGCCACTTCTAGTCATTACAGTACTGAAGTTAGAGCCAGGGAAATTAGGCAAGAAAAAAATAAAGGTATCCCAATCAGAAGAAAAGTAAAATTATATGTTTGTAGATGACATAATCTTAAAGCTAGAAAACCCTAATGAATCAATTGTTTTAAAACTGTTAAAGCAAATAAATGAACTCAGCAAAGTTTCAGCATATAAAATAAAAAATCAAGTTGTATTTCTATGTACTAACAATGAACATCCAAAAAGAAATTGGATTAGGAAAAAAAACCATTTACAAAAGCAAACAAGGTAATTACTTAAGGATATATTCAACAAAGGAAGCACAAAACTTATATACTGAAAAATTAAAACAACAACAACAACAACAAAAAAACCATTGCTGAGAGAAATTGAAGAAGCCCTAAATAAATGAAAAGATGTCCCTTGTGCATGGATTGGAAGACTTAAGTTTGTTAAGATTACAATAGTAACCAAAGCAAAATACAGAGTCAGTGCAATTGCTATCAAAATTTTAATGGCATTTTTTGCAGAAATAGTAATAGACAAACCCATCCTGATATTCACATGAAATCTCAAGAGATCCTGAATAGCCAAAACAATCCTGAAAAAGAAGAACAGAGGTGGAAATTTAACACTTACAGATTTCAAAACTAATTACAAAGCACAGTAATCAAAACAGTGTGGTTCTGGCATAAGGATAGCGATATAGATCAATGAAATAGAATAGAAATAAACCTTCACATTTATAGCAAACTAGTTTTTTAACAGGGAGCCAAAACCTTGAATTGAGAAAGTACAATCTCTTCAACAATAGTGCTAGAAAAATTGGATATCTACATGCAAAAGAATAAAACCATAAACACAATATTAATTCAAAATGGATTAAAGACCTAAGCATAAGACCTAAAACTATAGAACTCTTAGAAGAAAACAGGGATAAATCTACCTTGGTTTTGGCAATAGTCCTTAAATATGACAAAAGCAAAAACAAAACCAAAACAAACAAATAAAACCAGACAACAAAAGAAAAATATAGACAAATTTGACTTCATTAAAATTAAGATCTTTTGTGCAATAAAGGACACTATGAAGAAACAGAAAAGACAACCCACAGGATGGGAGAAGATATTTGCAAATCCTATATCTGATAAGGGTTTTATACCCAGAATATATAAAGAACTCTTACAATTCAATAAAATAGACAACCAAATTTTAAAAATGGACTAAGGACTTGAAAGTAATTTCTCCAAAGTAAATACACAAATGGCCAACACAGACATGAAAAGGTACTCATTATTAATCATTGGGGGAATGTGAATCAAAAGCAAAATGAGCTATCATTTGTACCTACTCAGATGGCTATAATTTTTTGAAAATGGAAAATAACAAGTATTGGGAAGGATATAAAGAAATTGGAACTTTTATATATCACTGCAAATGTAAAATGCTACAGCTGCTGTAGAAACAATTTTAACCCTTCTCAAAAAGTTAAACATAGAATTGCCATGTGATCCAGCAATTCTACTCCAAGGTGGAGACCCTAAAGAATTGAAAACAGGTGCTCAGTTACTTGTATGCCAATGTGTACAGCAGCACTGTTCATAATAACCAAAAAAAGTGAAAACAACCTAAGGGCCCATCACCAAATCAATGAATCAACATACTCGTACATATGATGTTGATACATACAAAGGACTATTATTCAGCCATAAAAAGAAATGATGCTCTGATACATGCTACAACATGGATAAATCTTGAAAATAATGTGCAGTAAAGTGAGCCAGACACAAAGAACAAATATTATGGTTTCACTTACATGAAATCTCTAGAATAAGCAAATACATAAAGACAGACAGTACATTTGCAGTCACTAGGGTCCAGAAAGGAGAGGACAATGGGGAGTTATCGCTTAATAAATCAAATCTCTTTGGGTTAATGGAAAATTCTGGAATTAGTAACAGTTGCACAACATTGTAAATGTAATTTATGCACAGAATAGTATAATTAGAATAGTTAAAATGGCAAATTTTGTTATATATATTTTATCACAAGAAAATATATATTTTTTATATTTATATATATGTCAAATATCTATATCATATATAGATATAAAATATATATATATATATATTTATCCCAAGAAAAAAATAGCAAAAAAAAAGGTGCCAAAAAGAGTACATACTGAATTATCTTTAGTGTTTCTATTTACATAAAGAAACACTGAAAAAAATAGATAAGAAACTAATGTAAGTGGCTACTCATAGGTAACATGAATAGTCAGCCCATATACACTAACCAGGTTGTACTGGTTAAAATACAGAAATACTCTGTCCTGGTTGGTAAGCGGCCACTCTCCAATTCCCTGAATCAACTCTATCTCTGCTATCATCCCAGGATACCTGGCTGCCCATGATGCAGCACGGGAAGTGTTACCCGGTGGGGTAGGAGTGCGGCAGCTAGCCTAGGATGAAGTGGAATGGTAACAGGGGGAAAGAGCAACTTTGCATACTAACCCTTTTAATATCCTTTTGATTTTTGAGCCATGTAAATATTACTTATTTTATAGTAAATCTTAAAACTAAATAAGGAAGAGGAGGGGGCAGGATAGAGCATAAGGAAGGGGAAAAAAGTACACCAGCTGGAAAAGGCAGTGAAGATAATTTTAGCAAAACAAATGTGTACTTCTAAACCATAGTGAGCTCAGGGAGTTGCAAATCTTGCAGAGACTTAAATATATGTGGCGGCAGGGGGAAATAGATGATGTTAGATACATAAATTTGATCCAGATACTAAAGAAACTCAATATATCCTTACTTAATCTGAATTATTTCGATGACACTGGTAACTCATTTCATTTTAGTTTTTAGGTATTTTTGTTTGTTTTTTTAAATCAAGGGAAGTACTTGAACAGATTTGTGTGTTAGAAAAATAATTCTGACACTATATGGAGAACGCACTGAAAAGAGAAACTAGTGGTGGGAGGGCTGAGATGAAGAAAGAAGTGGTAATGAGATGGAAATAAGTCATAGTCAGAAGATATTGAAGAAGAAAGATGCAATGGTCTTACTGAAAAGTAGTTAGCTTGGGGGTTGAGTTAAAAAAAAAGGAGGAACAAAAGATGACTATGATTTCTAGCTTAGTTGACTAATGGGGTGGACTATGACCTTTAATTGGGGAATTCTAAACGGGAAATTATTCAGAATCTCGATTATGTGAAATGTGAATATATTGAGATGCCAAAGATAAAGCATGACATAATGTGGATTTCAAATAAAAAGTTATTATGAAAATGGTAATGATTTCGTTTCTATTTTATTTAGGAATGACTAAGAGGAAATATGCTAAATTTTATAGGAAAAAAGTATCTTTATACATAAATGACGGTCTAAAATAAAAGAATACTGGAATGTTACAAAAGCTGTTTTGTGCTGAGTTTTACAAACAAATTTCATTTTGCCTACAATAGTTTAGGTGTTAGACATGTAGAAAAATGACCTCCTGGTACTGTCACTAATTCTAGGATTTATATTTTTATAAAAAAATTAATGATTTTTCAGGATGCTATCTAACATTTTTACCAATAAATATATTTACAAATTACTATGGTACTCTTCAGGACATAATATTGTTTCATCAGAATGGAAATTAGGATGAACAGAGAAGTTTCATAAAATCTTTATGATCAAAATGACTTCCGGATAATTTATTCAAGCATTCTTTCCTTGATTGTACATACCCTCTCTTTCCCTCCACAGCTAAACTTCAAGAAGTAGTCTACATGCATATTCTTCATTTCCGTATGTTATATTTACTCTTCAATCCACTTTGTCTGTATGCTCAATTTCTATAAGTGAAGGGGTTGTTGCTAACTAAAGTAAAAAAAAGCCCAACACATGACTACATCATCTCACTTGAACGCTCTGTTACATTTGCATGCTTAGACAACCCATCCTTCTTGAAATATTCTCTTTCTTTCTTCTCTATGACACTACACATTCCTGGTTTCCTTTATCATTTTATGACAATTTCTTCTCAACCTCCTTTGCTGGCTTCTACCCAGCTATTAATTGGTGATTTTCTCAGAAGTTGGTCATAGCCCTTTCCTCTTCTCACCTTGCCCTCTTCCAGAAGATATCATCACATCTATGACTTCAATTTCCAACTATATGCCAAAGGTCTGCCACCCTGCAAACCCCATTATTTCAAATCTCTAGGCTAGACCTTTTCTCCAGACTGCAAGCACAAATAACCAAATGTTTCTCAACTTCTCAATGTGGATGTCTCTAATTTACCTCAAATTAACCATGTCAAAATAATCACACTCTTAATCACTCCCATCAAAAATGATCCTCTTCCAATGTTTCTATATATAATTTCTTAATGAAATTATTCAAGTGTACAAATCAGAAACAGTAACATTCTTAACATTTACCTTTTATTAAATCCCCATATCCTTTTCTTCATCAAGACTGCCAATTATTACCTCAAGTATCTCTTACATCGCTGTACTTCTTCCTAACTCTACTATCAAAACTCTAGTCCAAACTACCAGGATCTCTCTCCTGGGCTGTTATAAAAACTTTGTAACTATTCCAAATACAATATTTTCTCCTATAATCTCAAAAATGTATTGGATAGAAAGTTTTTAGTCCTCAAATCTGTGAAGGAAGCACAGTTAAGTTTTTACTTTCCAAAGTGCCTGTAGAACTGAGGATAATTATTCAAATACACAAAAGAAACATCTATCTACATTACATATTATCATTAATAAACATCCGTTTGGTTAGAATAAGTGGTTTTGGTTAGATGAAGTCGTTTGAGAAGTGGTAGAGCCAAAGGTGAATGACAAGCATTGTTTCCATTCTTCTACATCTTCTGCTTTGTATCCAGACTTTCAAAACCAGAGGATCTGATCTGACTTTTCTCATTCAGTCTTTTCCAGATCATGCTGGGGTCATCTGAAAGCCTGGGAAGGCCCTGATGTGCTTCCGCAATAAGGGTAAGGAAGTCTTTTGTATAAAGATGCTCATCTATTTTCTCTTGGAGTAGAAGTGACTCTAGTAAAGTCTTCTTTTGTTTTAGGAAGGTAGATTGAGCCAGTTCTGCTCTTTTCCTGTTACAATCAGGACACCGAGAAGAAATGTGTTGCTTAGCTGTTGCCACCTGCTTTAATGTTGTCCTCATGTTTTTAAAATAGATTCTGTTCAAAAGCTCATCAGGGACAGTACAGTTGAAGGCATCTACCTCTGAAGCCTCTGCATCCAATCTAAGCTGCAGTTTCTTGTGCCTGCTGCTCTTTTTCTCCTTAGAGTTTGCTCTGTGATGGATCAGGTTTATCTTAATGGTGCAAAAAGACTGCAGGGCATTCAATTCTTCATCGGATGCCGATGTGATTTCTGTTTGAAGTTTAGCGTCTGGTTGGTACCGTCCAGAGTTCGTTTTTTTGCCCTTGAGGTAGCTGATCCTTTTCCAACTAAACTCCTTTTCTGGTACCTCAGATTTTTTGTCTTGATATTCCAAGCATGTAGTCGGCTTTCCATTCTCAGGCTTGATCTCAGAGTCCTGGGGCCAGGGCTGCAGTCCTCCAGAGGAGTTGAATGAACTGGAACGCCGTACCTCATCAGTAAAGGACGCGAGGGTCTGGTTAGAAAGGCCGGCCATAGCCCTGAGATCGGTTTGGGCCGATCACCCTCGCTCCTCTTAATCCCGCGGCGTCTAGGTGATGGTCCTCACAATGCATCAGATTCGGCTCCTCATCTGCTTTGACTCGGTCAAGATGGGCTCAGGAACTAGTCAGGCCTGAGCCCGCAAGTGATGAGCCTTTCTTGGCGCCGGCAGCACAACCTGCCTCCTCTTCCGGGTGGCGCCTTTCCGCTGCCTTGGCAACGCGGAGCGGTCCTGCGCAGTGGGTCACAGCGCAGCGCTCCTCCCCTTTCCCTCCCTTCCCGGTGCAGACTCCACCTGCGTAGTGCACTCCAGGTTGGCCGGTTGTCTTCGCGGTTCGCGCTGCAGCTATTTTTCGTAGTGCTGTTTTAAGTACAAACCCTAATAATCCTTGAGGAAAAATCGCAAACTCCCTTTCCTCAGGTGTCAAGCAAGCGTATGTGTGTAAGGCCAACAGGGATAGGCGGCCTCTGACTAATCCAAAAAAGTATGCCCCACGTAAATGATTCAAATTAAAAAAAAAAAAAAAAATCCCTGCTGGCCAGAAAGGGCAAGCCGAAACCTAGAAACATATCTGCCAATCACATAACCAGGAGATCACCTATTTGTAGACTACGTCTTAGGATAAAAAAAAACCTCGAATACTGAACCCTGTATAAGACTCCTGTATGACAGGCTCTTTACGTATTTCTCCAGCTTTATCTTGCAAAACTTTCTGTGCCCCAGCATTCCAACACCTTGCAGTTTTCCCAAACCACAGTTCCCAGGTCTTGGGTTCAGTTAGCACTCCAAATGGCATATCAGCACCCTTCTTCCCTCTTGATGTGATTAATTACTGCTGCTTCTTTAAGTCTCATTTCCTCAGGATGGGCTTCATACCCACCCCTGCTCCCAACCACTTTACAACCTGTCTTTCACAGTTAGCAACTATGTGTTTGTATGAGTATTTGATAATTATTATTACCAAATCATCCCACTAGACAAAAAACTCCATAAAAGTAGAAATTCTGTCAATGTTGCCCAGCACTCAGTAGGCACCTGGCACAGAGAAGGTGTTTGCTAAATCTCTGTTAAGTGAATGAGTTGAATGACTATGGAAACAGAAATAAGTATTATCTCTGACAGGTCCAGTGGATTTATGGAATAGGTATTACTGGCTTAAGGAACTTCAATCTTTTCTTCTTCTTGAACCCCCCAAATTCAGCTGTTACTCATGGTACAATATATCCTTTTACAACAAACTTTTTAAAGAACATAATAGAGTTTTACAAGCAACTATTCCCAGAAATCATAATATAAAATGTTATCTTTGAAAACTGACTTTTCTGTCTTAATAAATATTTAAGTCTTAGTATCTGAAATAATTTCAAGAGAATGGGCTCCCTTGCTCAGTTTTGTTTCTCCGTGTGTGTGTGTGTGTGTGTGTGTGTGTGTGTGTGTTTTGTTATTCTAGTCTAGCCAGATATATTTAATGTTATTCCAAAAATGTTCACTTTGGCAAACAGTCAAAGTCTGAAATGTTCAAAAATATCTCAAATATGAGCCAATTTCATATTGAAGAAAAAAAAGATTCCAACTTCATTTATTCAAACCAAATTATATTTCATCATATAATGTTGGTCTCTAAGAAGGGGTAGCAGATGATTTGTGAATTAGTTCCAAGTAATTTCTAGCATCTCAAGGGCTCAACATTTTCTTTTTTAATGCTTTTTTTAAAAAACCTTCTTCATTCCCTGAATATTTATGCATAATTTATTATAACACATGTTTTCCGAAAAAACATTGAGTAAGAAAGCTATACTTTAAAGTATATTCACATCTGCTAGTATGCAAAATATTGTTTTTTAAATAACTTTATCCTAGAAGCAGGCAAGTGTGGGGGGGGGGGCGCAGAAATCCTATAATTAATCAATTTATTTGCAATAACCCAGTAAACTGTTTATCTAAGGAGGTAAAATAGCTCAACAGCACTAACATTATCAAATAAGATTCATGCAAACAAGGTCAAACTTTGAATTTAAACATAGAAACCATTTCTCCTTGTATGAACCTTACACTCTACTTTCATCTCTATCACACAATAAAGTTTAAATGTGACTCTA